TGCCTGAACCCAGGAGGCGGAGGTTGCGGTGAGCCAAGATCGCGCCATTGCACTCCAGCCTGGGTAACAAGAGCGAAACTCCGTCTCAAAAAAAAAAAAAAAAATTATTCGGGTGAAAAAATTGCATTGATTCTGCATGTTTGGAGAGGGCATCTGTACCTAAGCTACACAACTGACTCTAAATTTAGAGGAATTGTGCCTCTTTCATTTTCTTTTTCTTTTCTTTTTTTTTTTTTTTTTGAGACGAAATCTTGTTCTGTCTTCCAGGCTGGAGTGCAGTGGCACAACCTTGGCTCACTGCAACCTCTGCCTCTGGGTTTAAGTGATTCTCCTGCCCAGCCTCCTGAGTAGCTGGAACCACATGGGTGACCACCACACCTGGCTAATTTTTGTATTTTTAGTAAAGATGGGATTTTACCATATTGGCCAAGCTGGTCTTGAACTCCTGACCTCATGATCCACCTGGCACAGCCTCCCAAAGTGCTCTGCAACCCTTTCTTTTCTTTCCCTTTCTTTTCTTTCTTTCCTTTCTTTTTCTTTCCTTCCTTCTTTCTCTCTCTCTTCCTTCCTTCCTTCATTTCTTCCTTCCTTCCTTCCTCCCTCCCTTTCTTTCTTCTGTCTCTCTCTGTCTTTCTCTCTCTCTTTCCGTCTGCCTGTCTTGCTCTTTCGCCAGGCTGGAGTGCAGTGGCACAATCTGAGCCCCCTGCAACCTCCACCTCCCAGGTATAAGCTATTCTCCTGCCTCAGCCTCCTGAGTAGCTGGGACTACAGGTGCACGCCACCACACTCAGAGAATCATATTTTTAGTAGATGTGGGGTTTCACCATGTGGGCCAGGAATGTCTGGACCTCTTGACCCTCCAGCCTTGGTCTCACAAAGTGCTGGGATTACTGGCGTAAGCCACCACACCCAGTGCTGCTGCTTTTTCAAACAGGGCTTCCTCCCAGAGCTGAGCCAGGCCCACCCCACAGGATGGGAAAATTCTATTTCTTTTTTACTCTATTTTTGAATGTATTCAATAGGTGAACAGAAGTATTTTGCTGTCACATTAATAATACATAAAATTTTTGTTCAAGAGAAAATCAACGTTTACTTTGGTAATAGTGTATTATCAATACTAAAGCTAATTTAAATAAAATCTTGTAAATACATCAGTCATTTTTGACCTCTCGAGATTTACACATATAGTACTCTTGTAATTTTTTTTAACATTTATTTTTATTTATTTTTTAAAGACGGGGTTTCACCATGTTGGTCAGGCTGGTCTTGAACCCCCGACCTCAGGTGATCCGCCCGCCTTGGCCNTTTTTTTGGAGATGGAGTTTCTCTCTTGTTGCCCATGCTGGAGTACAATGGCGCGATCTCAGCTCACTGCAACCTCCACCTCCCGAGTTCAAGTGACTCTCCTGCCTCAGCCTCCCAAGTAGCTGGGACTACAGGCATGTGCCACCACCTGGCTAATTGTATTTTCAGTAGAGATGGGATTTCTCCATTTTGGTCGGGCTGGTCTCAAATTCCCGACCTAAGATGATCCACCCGTCTCAGCCTACCAAAGTTCTGGGATTACAGATGGGAGCTACCGCACCCAGCCTAGCTTTTTATATTACATTTTTAATCTATATTCTTTGAATTTTTTCAATTTGAAACAGCAGTTAAATAATTTCAAACCGTTACAGGAGATAGAAAGAAAATCATTTAGGGCCAGGCGTAGTGGCTCACACCTGTAATCCCAGCACTTTGGAAGGTCAAGGTGAGCAGATAACTTGAGGTCAGGAGTTCAAGACCAACCTGGCCAACATGGTGAAACCTGATNACACCTGTAATCCCAGCACTTTGGAAGGTCAAGGTGAGCAGATAACTTGAGGTCAGGAGTTCAAGACCAACCTGGCCAACATGGTGAAACCTGATTTCTAATCAAAATACAAAAAATTAGCTGGGTGTGGTGGTGCACACCTGTAGTCCCAGCTACTCTGCGGGCTGAGGCAGGAGAATCGCTTGAACCCGGGAGGTGGAGGTTGCATATCGGCTTATGGGGTTCACCTTGCCCTTTGCCTAGACGGAACTGATTCATCCAGACAGGGTAATTTGTGGAGGAAAAGTTAAATATTCAATTTGAACTCCATTGAATGTGGACACAATGGTCAAATCCTGAAACAGTTTGTGTGAGCCCCTTGTATTCATCCTGGACTATATCGGAGAAATTTCTATTTCAATCCATTCCTCTACATTAGTTGTTGCAGAAAAATAGACAATCCCCAAAACAAGCTGACCATTTTGTGTTCCTTAAGGCCAGTCAGGAAGGGCCCTCGTGACTGGGCCTTATGCCAAAACTCATTCAAAAAGAGCTAGGGTCCCAGATCGCGCTGAAGCTTCATAAGACCTCTCCTAGTCTGTGCAGGGATGAGTGTTCAACTCTGGAGGCCAGGCTGTTGCTTCCCACTCTGGTGGTGAATTCATCAGTCTGATGGGCGTAAATATATAACTATATTTATCTTTTTCCCTTCTCTTTTTATTGCAATTTGCTTATTGTATCAATCTGCTTATTATATCAATTTGCTTATTATGTTGATTTGCTTATATCATTTATTTATTATATGTGCATAGCCAGTTACATGGGATAAAGCTTGTTTACCCTTAAAGGTGTTGTGTTCGTGTTTCTCACCTCAAGCATGTCCTGCACAGAACACTTGACATCAAAAACAATTCAAAACCAAAATAATGTCACTTTTTGGCCACAAGGACAGGATTGGAAACTCTGGGACTTACATATTTCAGGACGGGAACTCTCCCAGTTCTTCTCTTAGCGATTGAATGGTCCATGGCAACTGACTCTGTGAGAGTTTCGCTTTGTCGCCCAGGCTGGAGTGCAAACGTTTAATTGGGAATAAAGAGGTTTGGGAAAAACAATACTGGGGAGATAACTGAATTCCGGCGCACACTACCCTTGTCGCTGTTTTCGATGTAGATACTCATGCGTCTCTGCTTTCTCTTGAAGACTATTTCATCAGCAGGACATCAATAGGCCATATTTTCCACCATAACTGCAAACTTGAATGCAGACGAATGGCCTTAAATGATTTCTTTCTCCTACAGCAATTTGAAATTACTTGAAATTTGTTTCAAATTGAAAAAATATAAAGAATGTGGATAAAAATAAAAGATAAAAAGGCTAGAAAATTACAAAAAATTACAAAATATATATATATATATAAATCTTGAGGGTCAAAAATAAATTTATTTACAAAGTTTCATTAAGATTAGCTTTAGTATTGATAATACACTATTACCAAAGTAAAAGTTTTCTTTTGAACAAAAATTTTATTATTAATGTCACAGTAAAATACTTCTGTTCCCCTGTTGAATACATGCAAAACGAGAGAGTTGAAAAGAGAATTTTCCCGTGCTCTGGGGCGGGCCTGGCTCAGCTGAGGGAGGAAGCTCCGCCTGAAAAAGCTGCAACTTAGGCTGTTACTTTCTCCTCTCGGTCCGGAGTGTGATCACATCTTGTCACTCAGGGCCTGAGGGGGCGGGGCCTTAAACATTATCCAATCAGGGACGTCGGGCCGGGAACCGTTCAATCAGGCACGTAGCTGGAGCGGAGAGGACGGTTTCCGGGTTTGGCGCGGCCTTTGTCTCTTGCTGCCGCTGGAGCTCCGGGTCCCGTCTTCTCTGCTCTGTGTCCTCTGCTCCGAGACGCCCAGCCTCGCGGCCCTGTGACCTGCAGGTATTGGGAGATCCGCAGCTAGGACGCCGGGACCCCCTGGAAGCCTAGAAATGGTGAGAGTGGCGGTCCGACATTCCGAGAGAGAAGAGGGACGGGTTGGAACCGGTTGGAAGTGGCTGTGGCGGGACTCAGGCCTCCCCGCAGTCGGCTCCACAATCTCCTCCCCGAGTTCTCCTGGCCCGGCTCGGCCTCAGTCCCCTTCAGCCATAAGATGGCGGCGGCGCTGTTAGCGGGCCCAGAGTCCCGTCTCTTCCCTGCGCAGTGACCGTTTCCTGGCTTGGAGCCTCTCTGGGCAGCTCTGCACCCAGCGCGGCGTCTCTCTGATTGTGCAGGGACCACGGGAGCGTCCTCAGCAGAGAATCCTGACTCGGGGTGCGGGTTCATGAGTGGGAAGAGCTTTGGTCCGTGGGGTTCACAGCTTTGCTTTTCTCTATCCCGCCGGGAGCGGTGGCTCACACCTGTAATCCCAGCACTTTGGGAGACTGAGGGGGGCGGATTGCTTGAGATCAGGAGTTGTTAGGTCAACTAAGTTTTTCTTCAAAGACTCAACTTCCTGGTCACAAGTTGTAAAAGTTGTAAATCAACCCTACCCCTTCTCCTTCCGCCTTCTCCATTTCTCGAAAAACCGCGCGTTTACTCTATATGGAAAAAGTTTGATTCTAAGCCAACCGGGATCAGCCTAGATTGTGCGGGCTGACCCCAGCCAGTGGGGAACGACACAGAAACAGGAAATTTGTTAGGGTTAAAAACCCTTTCCTGGGCTCAGCACTGTGATCGTAACCTGTAGTCCCAGCACTTTTGAGAGGCCGAGGCGGGGCGGGGGAGGGGAATGCAGTGAGCCGAGATCTGGCCACTTCACTCCAGCCTGGCAGAAGAGTGAGACTCCCTCTTTTGAACTCCCAACCTCAGGTCATCCGCCCGCCTTGGCCTCCAAAGTGCTTGGATTACAGGCATGAGCCACCATGCCCGGCCATGACTCCCTCTCAGAAAAACAACAAAACAAAACAAACTCTTCCTGAGTGGGCACGGTGGCTGACACCTGTAATCCCAGCACTTTGGGAGACTGAGACAGGCGGATCATGAGGTCAGGAGTTCTAGGCTAGCCTGGCCAGCATGTTGAAACACGATCTCTATTAAAAATACGAAAATATAACCTCTGCCTTCCGGGTTCAAGTGATTCTCCTACTTCAGCCTTCGGAGTAGCTGGAATTACAGGCATGCGCCATTACACCCAGCTAATTTTGTGTTTTTAGTAGAATCGGGTTTCTCTATGTTGGCCAGGCTGGTCTGGAACTCCTGACCTCAGGTCCTGAATCAGGGTCTTTGTTGAATCTGAGTGGTGTCAGAATTCAAATGTTAGACAATAAGTTGATGTTGGAGCATTGTTTGATTTTCAGCAAACCGTACAGATTTGGTGCCAGAAAACAGATGTCAAGGAGGCCCGACCTGGAATAAAACTCTAAGTGTTTGGAAATGGATGGCTCTGCTCTCTTGTACGCAGGCTGTCACACTGCCCATTGTCCTGTGATTCCAGGTCTTCTCTCAGGGTGACATAGTTCTGAAAACTTAAGAGGAAAGGACCTCTGAAAAACTAGTAATAAAAATAAAACGAAAGGAAAGGAGCTCTGATGACAGACCCCCTTTTTTTTGCAGCTGCCACCATGGGATTCCCACCCACTCACAAACACAGTAGACAGTGACGTGTCCACACTGCTCTCAAGACTAGGCACCACCCTCAGGAACTTCACCACGGCATTTTTGATCCTAGTGTTTCTTGCCGAAAACCCAGAAGTGTCTACAAGTCTCCTGGAATATCCCCTCCCCCAGGCACTGAATCTGCAGCAGTAAGCTGTGTTCTCCACCAAGCTAGGGTTCTGGACCTGCTTATAATCCTGTTTATAATCTCATCTGCCTGCATGCACACAGAAATAAGTCAGAGTACAGCCCCACCTGGGCCACTTTCTGTAGAAAGAATCAATCCTCTCACCTCCACTGCACTCTCTGCCACTTAGGATTTTTTTTTTTCTATTAACTTTTATTACAGGTTTGGGGTACACATGTGGGTTTGTTATACAGGTAAAATTATGTCATAGGGGGTTGGTGTGCAGATTATTTTGACACCAAGGTTCTACCCATGGCACCAAACAGGTACGTTTTCTGATCCCCTTCGTCCTCCCACCCTGCACCCTCAATTAGGCTTCAGTGTCTGTTGCTCTCCTTTTTGTGTTCATATGTTTTTATTATTTAGCTGTTATAAATAATAACATGCATTTAGTTTGCTGTGTCTGCATTAGTTTTCTTTTGTTTTGAGATAGAGTTGTGTTCTTTTGGCCCAGGCTGCAGTGCAGTGTTGCAATCTTGGCTTACTGCAACCTCCACCTCTTCGGTTCAAGCAGCTGTCCTGCCTTGGCCTCTTGAGTAGCTGAAATTACCACTCCTGGCTAATTTTGCAGTTTTAGTAGAGACGGGGTTTCTCCGTGTTGGTCAGGCTGGTCTCAAACTCCCGACCTCAGATGATCCACCTGCCTTGGCCTCCCAAAGGGCTGGAATTACAGGCATCAGGCACAACACCTGGGCTTTGCATTAGTTTTCTAGGGAAAATGGTCTCCAGCTTCATTGATGTTATTGTGAAGGATGTGATTATTATTTTTTTTTAATGGCCACAGAGTATTCCATGATGTTTATGGACCATATATACATATATATATATATATATATAT